CCTTTTGTGCTTCCTTCATTCAATTACTCATTCTGTCAATTATACCATTAGCAAGATGAACAGTAAAAGCAGCTTGTCAGCAATTGCTACAGGTAACAAGGAAAAGCAAAGACACAAGTAACTATTCTTTTCTTATTTTGCTTTATTATTTTGGTGTTGTTTTTTCTTAAAATGTACACTAGACACTATGCTTCTCCACTTTGGATCATCAGATATTGGGCCCCTTGTTCCATTCAGTAAGCCTTGATTTCTTCTGAAAGGGCTGTGGCACAGAATAACTTGCCTGACACAAGACACTGCTTTGCAGGTAAACAAGGACATAATCAAAAAACCTGTAAGATAAACCTTTGTGTATTTTAACATTTCCAGACTCTTAGGTCATCTCACCATGAGGTAAATTGTATAAAGAGTTTGGAGCTCTGCCTGGTGGTGGACTGTTAAGGGGTAAAACATAAAGGTGGTTTATTTCATGGGATTGTTTCAGAATCTGCACATGACCACTTACTTAGCTGTGGGCAGTAACTCACTTATTAGTGGTAAGTGCATCGTTCTGGGTGGCTACAAAGATAATATTTTCTTTTCTGGGTTTTTTTTTCCCTTGATATTGCAATAATATCAGCTAGTAAGAATTATAATCTGGGTTTGATCCAAAAGGTACCAGTAATCCTTCACTGATACAGAAAAATTGCTGAACCCACAGACATGTCCATAGAGTGCGTCTGTTGGAATTCTTTTGCCTTAAAACACCATTACATTACTGTGGGCTTTGTAAATTGAACTTGACAGCCATATTTCAAACATTTTAGAATTAAGATAAAGCGTCACTGAACTGCATTGTTTGTTTCACCACACAAGGAGTTTTTCAGATTGGCAGCACTTTTTCTTTCTGCTGATGGAGTAGGAATCCTTCTGCAATATGCTGTGGTGATTTCCTTTTCTAAAGCCTGTGTGTGTCCTGCTGTGTTGGCTCTTAATTTAAAACCTGGTTTTTTCATACTTGTAAACAGCAAAGTTTCCCTCTCACTCCTGTCTTTTTTTCTTCCCCTCTATTTAGGAGTGTTGTTTGAACTGGAGAGGGAAGAAAGAGGAAAGAGTCTTTAGGTTTTATAGGCTAGACTATACTGATCTTTTCCTCTAAAGACAATGGAGCTAAATAGAATGAATAGATTCTAGTTAATGCTTAGAAATGAAATAGTTGACTGTATCACAAACTGAAAATATTTAGGATCTTCTGTTTTGCCATGTCACAAAAATATAAACTTTGAACTAGGAGTAACAGGTTCTGTTACACTGAGGAGTAACACTAATTAAAATTAATTTGTTTTTTGACTATTAATTTTTTTGTCTCAATGGCAAGATAATATTCTCATTGTAATGAGGAGTTTAATGTTAACTGATCATACAATGTCCATTTAGGAATAATACTGTTGTGTTTGGATTTGATGCTTCCCCTTCTAGTGGCAGAGTTCATTGGACCCATTACTCTGGATACTTTATGGGTGAGGAAAGCTCAGTAGCTGTGACAGTTTTGATAGTCTGTCTACGTCTTTTGAATGGATTCAGCAATTGCTGGAAAGGCAGATGGGGATTTTTTAGAAGGATGTAGAATATTTGTAGTATTCCTACAGTGCTTTTCAAATGCTCTGCAATCATTCATTCTTTAATGTGCTGCTACTCTGGTAGTGTTTTTCTACTTATAGATAAGGAAAAAATTTATGGCAAAACACTTTAAAGTATTGTCTTTACTGTGAAAATGCACTGAATTTTTGTTCTGGCCACTCAGAGAAAAAAAAAGCAGCAAGGTGAAGATTTAGCCATTTGGTATTGATTTCTGTCACTTGGCAGCAAAGTACTCTTCAAAGTGTTGAGAGGTGTTGCCCCCAGTGTGCCCAAAGAGGGGAAGGCTGTCATCTCCTGAGGTCTTCCTGAGCTTCAGTCCCTCTCCTCCCACCATCTGTCTGTCAGCACTATTCATCAATGTCCAAATACTATTTCTCATAGATTTTGAAAATGCTGAGTCTTGAACACTGGCAGTTCAGTCCCTACATGCACACAGAGAAAAGCCAAAGAGAAAGCAACTGTGTGTGTGTGCGTGCGCACATGCATACATATTTCAAAAAATATTTCAGAGAAGAAAATTATTTGCAAATTCATTACTGCTGCCAAACATACTGTTTCTTCAGTTGAAAACCAGTTGTGAGGAGAAAAACTCCACAGCACTATAAAGCATCTGTTGCAAATTACTATGTCAAATGTATTTGACTGTGATAGTTCTGATTCTCTAGTGTTTCACTTGCTGCTCTTCCATTGAAATTGTTTCATACGTGCTTATTACTCAGGCTTAGCAGATTAGTGGGCTTTTGCTCTGAGAGATGATTTACTATTTCGTGCAAAGTGGTTTTAAATTTTCCTAAAATATGTTTCAACTCTGGTTTGTTAGCTTGTGACCAGGATGAATAGTGTTTCCTGTAAAAAAAGAGATGCCATGAGGTTAGTAGTGCAGATGAGCCATGGGCCAAAGGAAGTTACCTGGAAAGACTTCCAGTGCAAAGCAACAGACCTTACTCACCTTCTCCCTCATGCTGAATGAGATATCACTTGAGTATGTACTTGAGTATGGCATCTATACTGAAAAACAAGAAATGGTTGTTGGGGACTTAGTATTACTAAGTGCCAGGATCTCAGTTGTAGGTATCTACAGCTTCTCTGCAGCCACAGCCATGTGCAGTCATCAGAGTACACCCCATATAATCATTTAGGAAAGAGATAGTCCAGGACTACCAAGTACTAACCTCAGCTCTCAGATCTGTTACTGGGCAGAGAAGTGAGAGGTGTGGTAGCTGAGGTACTGTGTGCAGCCAGGGCTATTGCAGCCCGGCCAGAGGACATTAGTCACTGTTACTTGTCATCAGCTGCTTCCCTGAGCTGGTTTTGGCAAATCTCTTGTACACACAGCATGAAGCCTCTAGGCTCATCCTCATTTTCCTTTGCCCTTTCATGCCCTAAATGGTTGATTTTTTCTGCTCATTGAGCCAGCACACTAAGAGAATCCGGCCTGAAATATTGGTACAGTTTTGTAGCAGTATTTTGAGTCGAAATATCCACGAGAATTTTAAGGTCATTCACATCTGAAGAAATTGTGTTCAGAGCAGTCCTTGGGGCCCCTGTCCACCCTCAGCTTGGGGATACAAGAGGTTATGCCAGCAGGACAATGAAAGTTAATAGATTTCAGCTTGTGCACAGCTCCCTGTTTGCCTTGATTTAAAGGTCCCAGTTTCAATCCTTTATGGTGTATGTAGGTTTCCTTATAGGCCTCCAAGGGACCACAAACTTCTTTATTCCTTAAAAGTATACCTTGTTGCTGTAATTGAAACCATTTTGTTACTGTAATTTCTCCCTAATATTACAGTTCTAGTCAAGTGGTCTTTCCCTCTGGAGGCATCAATTACTATGGGTTTTGAATAGGCCTCCTTCCAGTACACATCCTTTTGCTCCCAATGCCAAAATCAGGTCACTGCAATTCTCTTCCCTAATAAAACATGCTTCTGTGTTTCTTCCTTCAAACCCAATGTGTAATGTGTACAGATGAATAAGTCCACTCCTTACCACCCTATGTAGAACTCCTGCCATATGTAAGAAAAACTAAATACTACAGAATTCATGAGTCTTTTCTACATTTTATTTGTTTTCATGAAGACACGGAATATCCAAAGTCCAGAGAGAAGCTTCTAGGATTTGTGCAGGTAGTGAACCTGTGTAGATTTGAATTCTCATGAGGGAGTAGGGGAACAAGCCATAGCAGTGCACTTTGTAAAAGATCTTCAGCTGAAATGAAAACATCACGAGCCTCGTTGGCTAACCCATGTGTGTGAAATACGCGTTTTTCTGTAAGTTGAGCTTTTTTGACAACTGGGCCCTACAACTTACTGGATTCAGTAGTGGATCCTCACTGCTCTGCACCCAATGCCTTTTTGTAGATTAGTCTGTATGACATGTCTGGGAATGGGGGGGAATAGGCTTTGTATCACAGAGAACTCTGTATCTGAGAACTGAAGCAAAGGTTGGTCTCTCTCTCCTTTTATTGCATAGCCACAGAAGCAGAAGTTGTCAGGGTCCAAATGTGACCTGAAGACTCTCTTTACGTACAAACACCAACCAAAGATTCCTACTTGAAACCAAGCTAATACTCTGTGTTATTGGGTTCATCCTGCTTTATTACAATGATCTGTTTCACAGTGTTCAAACCAAGTGCAGCTTTGCCTTTTTGTGAATGGTTCCCCTATGAAACTCTAAAGATGCTTAACTCAGATTGGTGTATGTAATAGTTATCACTCTACCATCTGCCCAAAAACTTGCACTTTTCATGAGATGGCACTGCTGGGACATCTGGCACTAAAAATATGTTTTTTGCATCATCTCACAATTGAGGAAGATGCCACTGCTGTTTAGCTCCGCAGGAGATTCCTTGAAGCATCTTTCTGTTATCTAACAGCTTCTGCAATGAAGCACCAGTACACTGGCCAGGGAAGGAATTATACCATTAATGGAAGCCTGTACTTCTGCTTTATGGCTTGGATTGCTGTCAGAAGGGAGTGGCACTTCTGTGATGGATTGATTGATGGTATCCAGTCTGTCTTACATGCTATAAATCAGCTATTGTGATGTGACTAGAAGGACTATGTAATCTATTATAAGTCAGCTTCTATTACCCAGAAGTCAAAGGCCTGCAAAATCAATGCACAGCTATATTTCTCAAAGTTTGGCATGTCTTACCGAACAGTTTCTGTATAGCTTGAACTTGCATTGTGCTGGGATTTCCTTCTTAATTAATGGAATAATTTCTCCCTTAAAGATCCATCTGTAACATTGTGTCTCAAGATTGAGCAGGATGAGTAGGTCATACCCCACGAATATCTGAGCAGCTTGGTGCTCCCTTGTGCTGTGCAGTTCTTTCCACCCTTGGCAAGAGCCGCCGCAAAAGCCTGTGAATTTTCTTGTAGGAGGTGGAGCTGTGCCGCATTGGCAGCCAGGAGAAGCTGGGGCTGACTGTCTGCTACAGAACCGATGATGAGGAGGACACGGGAATCTATGTCAGTGAGGTAAGGACATGGCACTGGGAGCAGCATGGGAGAGGTTCATGGAGGGGTACACGTGCCAGGGAATCAACGTGAAAGTGCTCTTAGACAGGAGCCCAGAAGTGTTGGTCATCGACCAGCTCATGTCACTCTCAATTCATTTAGATTATCATGTTGCCCAAGCAGAGTAATAATTACTAGTGGGCTTCTTTAGTGTGCCTTCAACTACAACATTGTAGTTAGTAAAGCAGTCTGAGAATGGTCTGAATCTTAAAAGAAATGTGCCCTTATGATGGAGATCAGGCAGAGCTTTTGAGGAGAAAAGTGCCTTCTCGACAGCCCTGCTTGCATTCTCCCTCTGCCACAGCCTCAGTAATACTAAAAGTGGTCAATCATTATTGTATTATTTTTGTGTATGTTACAATTGTGGTACACACAGACATACCAGAGATGGGTAGAGGGAGTAGCTTGAGAGATTAATAATATGCTAGAAAACCAAAATATAGAATTCTAAATATTGAGGTGGGATGAATCCTCAGGTTTTCTCTGGCTCCACTCAGAAAACTTGGCACCCTGCACAGATTGTTAGCATTTCACACGGTCAGTCCACAAGACTTCCAAGAGCACCATCTCTGTTTGAGTCTCCAGTCATTCAAAGATGTTTTTTTCTCTGTGTAAAACAAAACTCTTCTGAGTCCAAGGTCACTGCTGATTATTCTGCATGAGCTGTGATCCCAGGTGGTCACTTTTTTGACATGTTGAACCAAATTTCGACGTTAAGGAAAGGTTCTTCACTAAAAGGGTAGTTTGTTCCTGGAATAAGGCTGTGCGAGGGTGTGGTCACAGCACCAAGCCTGTCACAATTAAAGGAGCAACTAGACAAAACTTTTAGTCATATGGTGGGTTTTTTTAGGTAGTCCTTTGAGGAGGAGGTTGTTGGATTTAATGGGGGCCATATGGGTCAATTCCACCTTGAGACATTCTGTGATTCTGAATTCTTAGTGGAGCTCATGGATGGAGAAATATAAAATACAGAATTCTCCTATGTATCAGTGAATGGGATGAAGGCAAGATTACACATAAAGAGGCCAGTAGCAATGTTAAATAAGCTGAAAAGCAAAGCCTTGGAACAAGAATGAGGAATTAATATAAATTACCTACAAATATATCTTCCACCAGTTGTATAAGCTGTCGTTTGACCTTGTGAGGGCAAAGAAAGTTCAGGAATCTCTTAAGGCATTCCAGGATTATATCTGAAATGTTCTGTTTATCCTGCATGATAAAATTTTCTCAGACCTTTGAAAGTGAATGTATTGATATTTTCTTTTGTACTTGATTAAGGACTTCGGATTCATTATTTTTTTTTATGATAATGCAAAAGAAGAAAATAGTATCTAGCACATAGAAGATGTATCCCGCAAACTCAATGCTCAACTCAAAATTTTGGTTTGAAAAAAGAACTTATATCATGATGAGGCAAAATAAATGTTTTAAGATAACCATCAAGTGAAAGGTGATAGATTGAATTGTCCTGCAACAAACAGTAGGTCATTACTCAGGGATGAGCTGTAGTGTCTTTGATAAACTATCACTGGAGCCCTAAATATCTGTTTAGGTTAAATTAACTTATATTTAACTGGTTCAGACTAGGCATGATTTACAGGGCCTGTGAGTGATCCATACAATATGGATCCTTCGGATTTTTTTGATGTTTCCTTGTGAACAGATTGATTACTAAGATAATAATTTAATAGTAAATGTTTCCATGGAAGAAAAAGGATCATGCCCAAAGACAGGCCCATTTGTATAGAGGTATCAGCTGCTGCAGAACCTTCTCAGTCCATGGTGAACTTCCAGAGAAAAGGGTGTTTCATTGATTTTTAATGCTCTGACAGCTGAAGGTTAATGCCTGACAGTGGCAAAGCATTAATTTGAAAATCATATGTTCCCAACCCTTTCTGTCTTGAGGCTTTTTTCTGAAACAGGCTCATATATGATCCTTTAAAGAACTCCTTCATTTTTGTTACTCTAAAGGAAACTTCAGCTTGCCTCTGTACTGTTTCAAAATTACACTTTTTCAACTCTTGCAATTGTGCAGCTCTTAAAATTTCCCATAAAAGTCTTTTCATGTTCAGTTCCTGGTTGTTGTCCTGTGCAGGTTGATCCAAACAGCATTGCTGCCAGAGATGGACGGATCCGTGAAGGAGACCGCATTTTGCAAGTATGTGATGAGAGACTCTTCCTTAAACTCTTTCTTCAGACAAACATGCAGTGCCATCTTCTCTGTGGACTGTTAATGAGGGAAGATGGTTCTCTTTGTTACTGTGATCGATGAGAAAATCCATGTCTGTCTGTTTTTTAACACAATAGCTGGGAGCTAGAGTGTGTGTACTGAAAAATGAGACTGACAAACTCGTTCTGGCTCATGCACTTACATCCCATGTCTTTTTTTTTTCCATATTTATTAGAAAATCTCATTTCCACTATGTTCATCTCAGTGTCAAATTCTAAACAGAATCCTGCAGACATAAATATAAGTGTCAAAGACATGCTGATCATTTACCAATTGCATAAATTTGAGTAAAACTCTTTTATGGTAAGCATAGATAATAAGAGTTTTCACACAAAAAATGTGTTGTTTAGAGAAGGACGATCTTGAACGAACTTAAGGAGGGAGTTCATTAGGTTTTTGTTAATATTTTATTTCCTTCCCCAATAATACATTGCTTTTCTGAATTTTTTTCTAATCCACCACCTTGGCATTTTTTTCTCCCTTTGTTGCTGTTGATCCACTTGCTTAAAGAGCTACCCCAAAGAAAGGTTTGTGTGTTAGAGCATAGGTTTGTGTGTTACAGTTCTCAGTGGGTGGCTGGCTGCTGCACAGGGCAGGGTACCTAAACAGTGAGGGAAACAGTGAGAATGGCAGTGGGTTTCCATTTTCAAGCAGTGCATTTTTCACCACTGTGCAAAATCATGAAACAGCTACCAAAAATCACTTGACTGGAAACTTTTTGCTGTATTGTATCATTTTAATTCCAGTTCCAAGTTGATTTGCCTTGTATTTTTGCCTTTTTTCACTGAAGCCCCAGAAGAAACTCCTTGTGATGACAGGTTGGTTTTCTGTAACATGTTCCATAATTGCCCTTCATTAATTTAAGCAGATGAGCTTTCAGGTTTTCACAAGATCAGTCTGTTCCTTCCTTCCAGTCTTTTCATTTCTACATGAAATATCTTTGCTGAAACTTTCCACTCCTTTCCTTTTTGTAAAATTCCTGGGTGGACAGCCTACAGCAGTTCAGGCAAATGTTCTCCAGTTCCTAATGAAATTCAATTCATTTCAATTTTGAGTTAAGACTCCAGGGGTGAGAGAAAACATAGATAATTCTGGCATCCTCTTGTGGACTGGAGCATTACTTTAATGTCAGTGCTGATATATTGCTATGAATTTTATCATTAAAGTTAACACCCGGAGAGTTATGTGGGGTTTACTTTCATATCTGAAAACACATTGACCCTCTATCTCCTCTTATTGATGAGATAGCTCAGAGAAATAGAAGGTGACGGTGCCATTAGGGGTGGATTACACTGAGGCTGGGAGAGATACAGATCCTTGAGCATAGGGGTGTTTTCTGTGGGTGGCAGGCAGCATTGGTTAAGGCTATGGGGGGAATGTTGTTATGTGTATTCCTCACAAAATGACAGCAGGTTTTGTCTCATTTTTGAGGCTGTAACTGCCCCCTTTTCATTCTCAGAAACCACCAGTCTTTACAGTCTAAGCATCTGAAAACTGCCTGAGTATTTTAAATAAAATGTTACAATGTCAAGGGAAAGTTTTAAGAGGGCAGTCCTTGTGGTAGTTGCCTGAACTTCTGATGTTTTTAGCAGTGAACCTGCAGGCTGAGCACAGCCCATGGGGCAGGCTGAATGACAGTGCACCTGGGATGGGGTGGCCACCTTCAGGTAGTGTGGGGACAGCCCGGCTGCCTCCTCTGGGGCCATGGTGAGCAGTTACTCAGCTGATAGGAGTTATTGGAGGAGCCACCATGTCTGGGGATGTTTTGTACAGGCTGCAAATCTGCTCCCAAGCCTCTCTGTGGCTGCATCTCTGCTTTTCATCTTAGGACAGCTCCGTGTTACCTGGTCTCCCACAGACCACAACTATCCCATCATGTAAGCTTTGAAGAGTCTCAGACATTTTGCTCACTGCCAGTTAGGTATTCAGGTATTTTCTTTAATCTGAATTAAAGCTATACTTTTGAATCAGGGCTTTCAGGCCAAACATATGTACAAAAATGCAACTTTCTCTTTGATTTTCAACAAGTTCAAATGGACTTGAAATGGAAATGAAATTACAACTGCTACTTCCAAAAGGAACTATTAGATTTTTTCCCAACAAAAATATTCAGGTATTTCTACCATCCAGTTTTGTTTTCACTCTCTTTGAAATAGACCGAATTTTAGGTTTTGTTGCCACAATGAGAATAATCCACTTCTTGTGCTGTGAATTGGACAAAACTGAATTCTTATGGGAAATAAGATTTCTATTTGATTCCTTCATAAATGGTTTTTGGACAATGAAATTTGTGTTTGTTACCATGTAGTCATTGATGTCGTTGTTTTAATGGGGTTACAGAATAGAAGAAAGGTAGCAAGAAAAGACGAGTTTCATTGAAGAACCACTTTTATTTTGATTATCCCCTTGTAAGGGGGATACATATGTTTTGTATGGTACCAGCTACTAAGCTGTCCGCACAAATATGAAATGATTAAATGGAGCAGCAACAAGCAGTGGCCTGAAAGTATTGCCTGGTGAGAGATAATACTGTAGCTCTCTAATTGGCTCTCTACCAGCATTCAGTGTGACTGATTTCAGCAGTAGCATTACCAGTCTTCTTCCACCAGCACTATTATCTCAGAGTGACACTTCCATTACTCTGAACGGAGAAAGATGAACGTCACCTGTCAGGGGCTGGTTAATTGTGTTGCTAGATGTATGTTGCCAGGGCGCAGGTTGGACATTTATGAACATAACTGCTTCCTCTGATGTCCACCATCCTTCAACGATCAATACAGCTCTTACAGTAAGCGCATAATTGAGTGAAGGCACTTACCACCGAGGGGCTGAAGATGAGCCCGTTACGCAATTTTCATTGTCCATACATTCAGCACAAATGAGCTGATATCTGCCCTTGATTGTGTGTTGCTTTGTGGAAATAGAAACTAATGTGCCACTTTCATTTGTTTCCTAGATAAATGGCCAAGATGTCCAGAATAGGGAAGAGGCAGTGGCGTTGCTCTCCAGCGAAGAATGCAGGAAAATTGTGTTGCTGGTGGCGAGGCCGGAGATGCAGGTTAGACTAAACAGATGCACTGAGCCAGAACCTGGGTTATACCATGCATTCACTGTCACTGCAAGTAATGAGCTGCCCAGAAATGGGAATGCCAAAGTTACTGACAAAAGGAGCAAACACTTAATTGCAGAGCTTTGCTCTTTTTTTATCCAACAAAGAAAATAGTATGATATTACTAGGGCATGTTTTCCCCAAACTAAACAAGTTTTTTTCCAGCAGAGTGAGCAGGTACATAAATAAAGCTGGCAGCACCAATATGATATTAGTAAAATATGAAGTAGAACTTGAAAACTATGCATTACTCATTAGGGGATTCTGCTTTGTTCAGGGGATAAATTTCCCATACTTAACGTTTATCAGTTTTATCTTTTATATGAAGTTTATAATTTATATGAACTTACACAAAGCAGTAGCTTGTCATTTCTGAGGGGTTGTTTTATGCTGCATGGTTATAACCAGGCATGTAAACTATTAATGTGTGTATAAATTATGGGACTTTCTCCACAGTCTCATTCAGCAAATGGAAATCTAATTGTTTTAACAGCACCCTGGTCACAAATATGTGCCTTCATTTTGGGAGATGCATTTTCAAAAGCTTTTAGAAACATTTTTATTATTTTAAAAATAAAATTATTCCAATACCAAGAATCTTGCTGTTCCTAGAATTTTTAATATCATTGAAGGGAACACATATTAGATTGATTATCAGATAAAGAAGGGGTATAGTGGTAGAAGACTGCTGGTTTTATATCCCTTTATATTCTATTTGTAGGCCTTTGCAAAGCAAAAGGACATTATATTGTCACTGTTCTATCTGCAAATAATTCAGAGTTGGTTAAGGTGCCGTTTGTCTCTCATGCTATTGTTCTGATATTTTCAGTCTCACTAGCTGCATATTCTGTATAAATTAAATTAAAATGTGATTCAGTGCCACTTGGAATCTCTACTTAAATACTGTAGTTATAAAAGAGTCACAATGTCAGCATTCATAACCTTTATGTTTTTCAGGAAGCTAAACGATTCTTATAAAACCAGTGACAAAGTATAGCAAAAATAGGTGTGCCTCACTTTATACTGCAAAATTATAATCCTCAGTTGCTGAAATTTTGAAAGAGATTTTTCAATATTATTCTCACTGTTTTTCATTAGGATTCTGTTTTTCTCTAGGGTACAGAAACTCACCCACTATAAGAAATACACGCCCAGAGAAAGTTCAGTCTCTGTATTTGTTTAGACTGGTCAACATGAAATTAGGAGTCAATATTATAAGATTAATATAAGGAGTTACTTATCTGTACCAATGTAGCTTTCCACATGAATACGCCTTAAAATAATAAGTGGGGTTTGGTTTAGGTTTGGGTCTTTGGTGCTGGATTTTTGTGTTCAGTTTATGTGTTTTAAGCACATACTCATACAAAACTGATAAAAAAGCCAGAGTAGGTCAGAGATCAGGCTGTCAACTGATTTCTGCTAGTTGTGTTGCTTTGACTTGCCAAAAACCAGCAGCATTAGGCAGGCTTTTATTTCTACATAGAAAATTGTAATGGCAGTGCTGCAGCCTTGAAGGGTAACTGCTGAGCACATTCCCTCAGTAACAGGGAAGAAAACCCCTCTGACCACATGTATGTGCAGTGAATTATGAAGTTTTGAAACAGAGCACCAGAGGATCACACCACACACAGACATTCTCATGTGTGAATGTGTACACAGTGTAAGTAATGCACGTATATGCTAAGGCATGTATTAGTTTTCTTTCAAAAACAGTAACATAACGTAAGTGTTCTTATTAATTATATAATGGGACTGCCACAATCAAATGAGCAGATTTGCCCAAGTGAGATTCATCCTTCATCCCCCAAAGTTGTTCATCTCTGCAGTTTTCTCACCTGAGGTGAATTAAACTGTGTCCTTTACATCAGAGGAAGGCTGTGCTCATGCTTTCCTTGGGGTGAAAAAAGTAAACAAGACAAGTAAACAAAACTACCCAATGTTTCACAGAACAGTTTGAAATTCCCATTGAGGACAAACATAAAAATTATATGTCCTTAAGGAAGAAAGTCTCCTCCTAATCCCAAACCCTACGTGGCTGGCTTTACCAGAGGAAATGATGAAAGACTTCTTTATAAGAGGACCAAATTTGTTGACATGGGCAAAGCCACATCAGAGTTTATTAAGGAAACAGTGATGTTCTACCAGTATTCCATCAGAAATACTGCACAGCATCAGTCACTCCTTGTGTAGCTTTGAACTACAACTACTGCTGCTGCTGCTGCTACTAGTTTAGTGTAACTTTTCTGACTGATGTCTGTGACCAGACATATCCTGGCTTGGAGGCAGTGGTAATTCTGCTCTAGGAGTTGGCCCGTGCTACATTTCTCTTGCTATCTTGGGACATGAGTACTTGGTATTCTTGTAATTGTTTTATGCTGAGGCTTTTCCTTTTAGCATGTTTTTGTCACCATTGTCCTGTGGTTCCTTCATCAATGACAAAACAATCAGTGTTTCCTTCTGCTACAATCCTGTCATTATAGCCAAGAGTGCCACTGACCAGTGTTTTACTTTTTGATGCAGTGTGCCATCTGGCAAGGGATTGCAGGTACAAAGGATCATTATGCTCATGTGCACACATGAGCATAATGAACAAAATTGAAAGAACAGCGTTTTAGTGCCTGTTTTATCAGTTTTGAAAGATGTGAAGGTGTGAAATGGGTTCAAGAAGAAATATGTACTTGACAGAAAACATGGCATCCCCTCCTGTCCTTTTGCAACACTGTGTTCACCAAATGTCAATGTACTATTTTATACTTGGCAAGAAAAAAACCAAGCAAACAGATAAACCTTGCTTCCAGACACACCGGGAGAACTAAAATTGCCTCCCTTCAAGTCACCTCATCTTTCTATCACCCTGTTCTGTTTATTTGTTTACCTGGAAGATCAATGGGAAGATAGTGACAGAAACGCAGCGTAAGGTTTCCATTGAGGTGGTGGCAGCAGGGCTGGAATGGAGGCTGTTAGAGAGAAGAGCCCAGTTGCCTCCTGGCCCTATTAGTGACACTGCCATTCTTGCCGTGCGAGGTCTCTCAGTAGTAATGAACATGACAGCTTCAGGACTGTGCGCTGTGCCTTTCATACCTTTTGAAAGGAAATAATGTCTGTGCTGTGCAGTCTCCTTCATTATGAGAGAAAACCAGTCATACTGTTTTACGAAGGGATAAAAGACATGAATCCCATCTTTTTATCCTTTTTCTTTTCTATTTTTTTGAGACGTGAACTTGAACTCCTACCGCCTGGCTTTATGAAGAGAATCATTAGAATAAAAAGAACTAGTCAAGCATTGCCATTTGGGTTTACTCTGTTTTAGCATGTGTCCTTGCTAACATAAAATAACATACTGATGTATTCTTTGCAGCTGGAGGAAGGGTGGCTGGATGATGAAAGGAATGAATTCTTAGAGGAGTTAAACTTGGAAATGTTGGAAGAGCAGCATAATGAAGCGATGCAGTACACAGCCAATGAGGTGGAGCAGGTACGACCACTACTAAACATATAATTTGAAATTTTTCTAGGTATACTTTTTTATTAATAGAGAATGAAACAGTGTGCTGTAAAATGGAGTCAAAGGCTTTGATAGAGTTCTTTCTCCAAATGCTGTGATCTCTGGCACACTATGTAAGGAAAAAGAGAACAATACATGCTTAGACCCAGTATATCAAGTTAATAAACAATGTAATAGGGTGTGATAAGTGCACATTTCTCCTTTTCTCCGAACTCTCAGAGTAATATTGCTTTTCTTCAATTAATTTCCTTAATTCTGAAGTGTTTGGGATTTATGATGTTAAACTTCATGTCAGTTTTTTTTTACTGGTGCTAATAACATCAAGGTCATGGGTTAAATCTCCATATGGGGGATTTAACTTTAGAGCTGGACTAGTTGATGCTTTTGGGATGCATGCAATGTATGAGCCAGCCTTGCAGCAGAGCTTGCAAAACAAGATGGAAGACATGTTTAAATAAACAACAGGTGTTTTGTTAATGTGAGTGTATTTCTCGTGCACCGACAGCGCACAGCTCAGCATTTGTTTTGTTAATGGAGACAAATAAGCTATTGTTAGCATAGTCTCAGCTTGCTCCTATCCTGACTTTTACCTGCCCATATGTTCTGTAGGCTGTGTGACTGTGGCAAACATACCCTACAGTTTCATCAAGTGGTCTTCTCAGATGTACGTTGTTGTGAAAGGTGTAAGTACCCACTCCTGGATCAGATGATCTGCCAGTATGCACACCTGTGTGGAGCCAAAGAAATAAAATTCAACTTCTCCTGGCTTCTGGATTTATGCAGCTGGGAAGAAACTGTTTTTACACCCACAGAACTTTGTGACTTACAATTTTTTTCCCCATTCTGAATTGGTCAGAAAGAGAGCCTGTGGCATTTTTCTTTGGAGAGGGAGAAGGACTATGAGAGCCTTCTCTTTTCTGGAAACCAGGGAGCTGCTTTGACTTCAAATGCCTCAATGCTTGGTCCACACTGGGAGGCCTGAATGTGAATTTAGTCTGTTTTCTCCTGACCTCCCCTTCAGCCTTGACACGGGGTCAATGAGTAGGTGATAGCTCATAGTAAAGCTCTTCCCTGTATATCAATGAAATATTCATTGGGACACAGACACTGACAGAATAATTAAGTCAATTCTCTGAAAAATGACAGATCAGATTACAAATATTTGATCTTATAAGCATTTAATTATTTACACCAAGTGCAATAACTCCAGGGCTAGGGGGAAGGGAGCCTTGCAACAGGATTTTTACCAGCCTTTTAGATGTGACTCTCCTTTCCAGGCAGTGAGCCAAGCCTCAGTTTCCCAGGTTAAATGTGCTAACTGCTGCACTGCTAGCTACTTTCAGCTGATATATGGCATCTTGTTTACTGTTTTAGCCAAAATTTTATCTTGGATACCAAATACTTGCTGTCAGAAAAACCACTTGCTCTTTGCAAAACAATTTCATTTGCATGGTGACATTTTCACACAAACGTCCAGTTCTGGTAGAAATTCTTGAAGAAGTCTGTCTATCAACTCCTACTAGGCACTGACATTATATGTTGGGACCTCTGCAATCACTTCACCATTGTGACCTTCCACTGCAAAGTTCTTGTCAAACTTTGGTTTGGATGAATTTGGGTTGTGGAGAGTGTTATGAGTAAACAGTGATATTCTGTGATGTGTTTTCACAGAACCCATTGAATTTGTTTATTCCCTGTTAGAATCTTTTACCAAGCATAATTTTTGCCATATTGAGATTTTATATTGCTGTAAAGAACTGGGAAACATTGCACTGGGAAAAAAATTGTGGTCAGTTGTGATCTGTCAGTATCTGACATTGCATTGCTTGAAGTAATTCTAGGACAGCCAGACATTTCTTTGCCCTTCTGATGAGTAATTGAATCAACCAAATGCAGCTTGGTGTGTAATGGGGCATCAGTAATTTGTGACAGCTGCTGTCTCTCTAGACTCTATGCAATGACTCGTCAAGTCAGAAAACTGGTTCTTTACTCCTTGTTAGGCTGGGAAATCTAGCAGTTTCCTGAGGGGAATCACACCATCCATTGGAGCTATGAAACCACTCTGATTGCAGCTGCCAGTGGCCAATCTGAGTATCTCCAAGCTCCCTGGCTGGCCATGGAGACCAGCCTTGATTTTTGTGAACAAAAACGTAGTCATCATGAATCTCAAGAGCCGCAGCAATGAATATACTCTCTATCAGAATATCCGTCCAAATACAAGTCTGTTTTACAGAATGCCATTTTAACATTTAATGTGAACTGTCACAAAAAAATTTGCTACAGTTTGTAATAGAAGAGTCAAGTAGATAGTCATGTCTTTTCTGTATGTTTTTTACCTACTCTGTAGAATTCAATCAAGAATTGTATCTTCTCTGGATGGAATAATCCAAAAAGCCTCAAGGAAAGATGTAATTCTCCATTTTTTATAACTCATTGTGTTCCTTTCCCTTTACGACATCATGGTTCATTGTGCAGCAGAGATAATTTTCAGAAGACTGCCATACATTTGCCATGCAGAAATTCATATTGGTATCATGTAATATATCAGAACCTATTAAGAAGAAGAAGAAAGAATCAGATAAAAAGAATTATTCTGGTTCATTCAAAGCTTAAATACAGAGAAAATATCTGGGGAAAAATGCTTTTTTTTTTGAAAGAAGCCTATTTTAAAAAAACAGCATTGTTGGCAGAAGAGCATTTTCGCTTTTAGTGAACCACTGAAATAAATTCCAAATTTCCCTCATGGTTAGCCTGCTACTGGAGATTCCTCTCCCTGTGACATGTCTCCCTCTCACTGTCAGAGGCTTACCAGAGAGTCCAGCCGGGTTTGTTAGAGGCTTCAGCTGAATTATACTGCATTCAGACTTTAGTAGCAGCCTGGGTTTTGAGTCCCAATATATATTATAAATTGTAAAAGGATAGGACAGTGCCTGAATTCCTGCAAGATTTGCCATTTTATAGGCAGGAATTCTTGCTGGAGCTGAAATGCAGAATCTTTTGAGGTTCATTTATTGCTTGATTGTACGCACCGCTGGGTTTACCTTCTCATTAGCTGAGTTCTCACTGCAAAGATGAGGCCTAAGGAGCCCTTTGGTATTTCAAACAGAAATAATTGTGGAAGAGATTGACAATGTATGTTTGAAAACAAACACTTTGTTTTAAATAGATAGAAGATAACACCAGAAAAAGCAACACACTGAAAATTGTGGATTCTCTCTTGTTTTTCAGAAGAGATGTAATGTGGAATTAGGCTTGTTATCTTTCAAAATAAAATTAAAATTATCTCATGCTGTAAAAGACTGCACAGTCTGCACATGTTTAGGAGCTCTGGCAAGCATGAAATGTCCAGGTCAAAAATGCCAGGGGCTACCTTACTTTAGTCACAATGGATTTTTTTAAATAAAATGTATCTCAAAAACATGCAGTACAATAAATATCTGTATTACTTTCCATTTTCTTAATTGACTTAGCTGTAAGTATCCACATACTGTGGAAAAACGTAATGTGATATGGATGTCTGCTTTAGTTTGAGAAGAATCTGAATGTATAGGCACTTGTTTTTCCCTGAGGGAACCCAAAGCCACTATCTGACATTTAGATGTCTGTACTATAGACACTTATATTTCATCAGATCAATCCCATTCATCTAGTTTCTACTTGACTCAAAAGACGGACTTTGCTTTGTTAACATCTTTTGTGTGTGCATGTTAATTCCCGATAGTGTAACTTCAGTAGGTGGCAGAGTGTTATATTCAGGCAGTATAAATCAAGTTGAAGAAGCAAAGCTTAAATTATTGATAAAAGGGGTGTGGAAAGCAAGAGCTACCAGTTCTGAAAGTGTTGATTGCATGGGCCTCGACTGTAAAGTCTCTTCCCAACACCTATACAAATAGCCTCATTAAGTGGTTTCTTTCAGAAGTGCTCAAATATATGCTTTGGGTGGTGTAATACCATGCAGAAGACATCAGAGGAAGTATCATAAAGCTCTGCTCCTGTAGGCTGTCTAGCTGGGCTAACACATAAACCACCCTCTTTGGAGTTTTAGTCATATGGATGCAAATTGTGTAATTCCACTCATGCCCAGAGTCAAATAGCAGATCCTGACCATCCTCGTTTGGTCATGTGAATGGAGCCCTGCCTTTGGAACAGGCACCCAGATTCCTGTCTGCTCTGCAGCACTGCCCTCCTGTTGTCTGGTGGAGCTGTTCTCCCTCCTGTCGGCAGTTAGATATTTTCCAGAGCAGTGAGAAATATGGATTGCATACTGCAGTGCAATGGCTGGGGTGAAGTGTAAGCTGCCCAGGTTGGAGTCACTTCTCTGCTGAAGGGTTTGGGGGCAGAGAAGGTCAAGACAAGCTGCAGCACTCCAAAGCAGGTGAGAGAAGGGAAGAGAATAGCCTGTGTAGCAGCACTCACCAGGAGGAGGTGAACTAGAAGGATACTAAATGAAACCTAGATCTCCTAAGGCATCTTTTCAGAAATTTTTAACTGGTTTGTCACAGACTCCAAATTCTCCTGGTGGTGTGTTTCTTTCAATATCTGCTTTATTCCACTCTAACACTGAGTTGGGGGTGGAGGTTATTTTTGTTTTTCTGACCCTAGGCCATTATTTTTTCATAACAGTTGAGGAGACACATTTTCATCCTGTTTTACTGTTTGTCAAAGTAGATAAAAAGGGAATTATGACAGTGGCCTCTTTAAGTTTGTTTCCTTTCACTGGGTGCACAGTACCTTTTTTCTCTCCTGATTATTACAGTCATTATACATAATTATGCAATTATACCTCCTAGAAGAGACATGATGTTGGTACTGTATGTAGTTAGGTGCTTGGTCATACAAATTGCACTCTGCATGATTCGTTGCTTATCTGGTTTGAAAAGTAAAGTGTCTGTCTCTTCAGACAGGTATTATCTCTGGATAGTATTCTATGGAATATAAATAGGTTGAGAATATAAATAGGTGAGGTACAATGAGTAGAGTGCTAATCAGCAGTCAAAAAGCTTGACATTATATCCATGGCAAAGCATTCAGTGTTGTTCTGCACTTAATATTGAAAGGCTGTTTTTATTTTTAAGGAACATAAAGTCTAACAATGGAACAAAATGAGTTTTCAAAAAGTTTCCAGGGATGAAACAGACTGAGGTCTTTCTGAGCAGAATCCTAGAATCTGAAATGAACGCTTTTTCAGAAAAAGGCTACTGAGCACAAGAAGTGTAGGAGAAGGCTATGGAAGGTGTAATGAAGCAAACAAAAGTTCACTGTTTAAAAAAAGCAACAGTAGTCTTTTTGCACCCTATTAGGTTGTACTAGTCATTGCTTCATTGGCTGCTTGCTCTGTTTGTTTGAAGGGATACCAGTACTGAAGCTTTCTCTCAAGTTTGAGAAGATTTCAGTTCCACCAGTGGAGCTATAATGCAGAATCAAAATCAGCTCACCAACTGGTGATCATTATCTTTAGCATTGTGAAGAGATGGCTTAGCTAGAGAGGGAAGTATTTCTTTACAGACTTAAGAAGCTATGTCACTAGTACTGTAATTCACTTACTTTGCTTAGTATGGAAACCACAGCATGGCTCTCAGAAATTTTTAAAAGCTATGAGCAGTAGGACTGCTATATAGTGATCTGTTTTAATTGAGCTTAAATCAGATCCCAGCTGCTTAAGCAAATCAGAACTGGAAAATAATTGTTCTATATTATCTGCATTTGATAATCCTTTTGGTTTACTCATATTTTTTTAGCCAAAGAAACATGAAGAGGAAGATGGCACTACAGACACTGCAACCTCATCATCCAACAATCATGAGAAGGACAGTGGGGTGGGACCTACAGATGAAAGTCTTCGCAACGATGAGAGCTCAGAGCAAGAAAATGCAGCTGAGGAGCAGAACGGTGCTACCCTGCAGAGCAAACGGGATCTGGGCCACAGCCAGGACACTTTAGGCAGTGTTGAGCTCCAGTGCAATGAAAGCTTTGTGTCTGGGGAATACATTGAATCTGATTTCACAGGAAACCCAGAGGAGGAATGTGAAAGGTTTCGACAGCTGTTGGAACTGAAGTGCAAGATTCGAAACCATGGAGAGTATGATCTTTATTACTCAAGCAGCATGATAGAATGCAACAGAAGAGACCAAGATGGAGTGGAGCATGAGCTGCAGCTACTCAATGAGGAACTGAGGAACATTGAACTTGAATGCCAGAACATTATGCAAGCTCACCGGCTCCAAAAGGTGAGAGACCAGTATGGAGACATTTGGTCTTTACATGATGAAAGTTTCAGGAATTATAACACCAGCACAGATGTACAAAGAGGCAAACTGGATGACATCATGGAGCACCCTGAGAAGTCTGACAAGGACAGCTCCAGTGCCTACAACACTGCTGAAAGCTGCAGGAGCACTCCACTGACTGTGGAGCGATCCCCAGATAACTCTCTCCAGAGGGTAATCAGCATAACCAACAGGAAAAACCTGAGGACCACAATTGTTGCTAATCAGTCATCCTCAGGACAAAGCAACAGGGAGACAACCTCAGCCAAAACCAAACCCACTGAGCAAAACAGTGCTGCTGAGAATGCAGTGCTGGCATCAGAAAGCAGCAAATTCACAGACCAGGACAGGCAAGGCAGCGAGCACATTCCCTATTTGTCTCCATATCACAGTTCTTCTTACAGGTACGGGAACATCCCTGCCCATGCAAAGCATTATCAGAGCTATATGCAGCTGATCCAGCAGAAGTCTGCTGTGGAGTATGCCCAGAGCCAGCTCAGCCTGGTGAGCATGTGCAAAGACTCGCAGAAGTGCGCGGAGCCGAAGATGGAATGGAAAGTGAAAATAAGGAGTGATGGGACGAGGTACATCACAAAGAGACCAGTTCGAGACAGAATCCTGAAGGAACGTGCCTTAAAAATTAAAGAGGAGCGCAGTGGGATGACGACAGATGATGACACGATGAGCGAGATGAAGATGGGTCGCTACTGGAGCAAAGAGGAGCGGAAGCAGCATTTGGTGCGTGCCAAGGAGCAGAGGAGGCGGCGGGAGTTCATGATGAGGAGCAGGCTGGAGTGTCTCAAGGAAAGTCCACAGAGCGGCAGCGAGGGCAAAAAAGAAATCAACATTATTGAACTGAGTCACAAAAAGATGATGAAAAAGAGAAACAAGAAAATCTTGGACAACTGGATGACAATACAAGAACTGATGACACATGGTGCTAAATCCCCAGACGGCACAAGAGTGCACAATGCCTTTTTATCAGTTACTACTGTATGAACACAACTTCTAACAGAGAGTATACTACCAGTTTAGGTAGAGTACAATTGCCTCGTTCAATGTGGCATTTTTATATATTTTGTGACTGTTTATAGTTTGATCTTTTTGTAAGCAAAATGACCTGGTATTTTTCATTTGTTTTTCATATAACAGTACCTTCTTTATCTGGCAGTCTTTCTTTATCCTGCAATATATTCATATTATTCATTTGTAAAAAAAAATAGAAAAGTAAAGCAAAAAATTTCTTAACCTAACACATATCCTGTAACTTGAGATCTGGATTTATTTCTCTAATTTTGCTTTTTCTACTTTAGTAACAATACAATACCAAATCCAAATGCTTTATACTGTATCCTTGGCTTAACAGTTTTAAAGTTTTACATCTTAGATTGAATCTGTTCATAAAACATATGCCACATCCCATCATATAGATAAGAATGACATTTTTCCAACTGCATATTTTACAGTACATTTAATCTGTAAATTGTAATTGTACTTGTCCAAGTAAAGTGTAGGTGAGCAATTCTCCTGTGTTATGTAGTGGCATTGGTCTTGTAGCTGCACAGTATGTGATAATTGTGAAGATGAAAGAGAAATAAATTATTGCTTATCTTTAAGAAATAAACAAAATCCAAGCATTGTTTTATTTAGATTGAGAATTTTCCTTTGACTATAAGCCATTTCACTCTGCATGGTATTTACAGCATATAGAGATTTCAAGAACAAAGGACATGATTCCATAGGATATTTCTTATGAATTAGCTTTTCATTTTGCAGAACACATAGAATGAGTGGGTCTTTCTGGCTTTTCCTTACCTGCTGTTATTAGTTAATTAAATGATTCATTGATGTATTTCTTTGTTGTAAGATGTTAGGTAACTGCCATGAGTCCTCTCCCTGGCTGAGCTTGCTGTTTGTTCTACACATACAAAACATAAGCACAGCATATGCCTAACTTTGAGCCAAATCTCATGCAAGAAAAACTAGCAGTGACATTTTCATAGAACGTGAGTTAAGGAAAAACAGAGAATGAAAAGCAACTAATTGAGTTAAGGGTGTAAAATTATTGTTGAGGAGCATCCAAGTCATTTAGAGCTCAGTGGGAGCTGGTTGGAGTTCAGGAGCAATGGCAATTTGCTGTCTGGGTGCCTGATGGGACTCCCTGACTCTCCATGCAGCAGAGGCCCCTCGGCTGCCACTGGGGAATCTTGTGAGCTGCTGCTGCTGGCAGCCCAGTGAGACAGAGCCAGCTGAAATTACTAGTCTGGGGCAGTCTGTGGGGTTGAAGAAATGGCCTAATGGCTCCATTTACATTGTCCCTGTGCTTGACTCACACAAGTTCCTAACTGATTGTAGTGCTTTCCATAGCAGAATTAGGTTCTGAAGTCACCTGGCATCTGGCTTTAAAATATATGCTTAACATTGCAGAAAGGCACATAATGGTATTTCTAAACTACCAAATTCTGGGAATCATTCATTTGTTTTTAAACATTTTTGGCATTAGTTCACATTGGCAGTACTCTTTGCATCTCTAGGCGTATACATACTGTAGGAGTACTGCTCTCCGAGTACTTAGGAAAAGTGTCATTTTCCTTTTTCTCTGGGCAGCTTTGGGAGAAGCATTCATTTCTGCCTGATGAAATGCCTTGATCGTTGCTGCTAGCATAAAAATAACCATACAGCCCCCGAGCAGGGCCACCCAGGGTGGTGGTGTGCAGGGGCTGGATGGCAGGTGAGTGCTTTACTGCTCACTGCTCTCAGCTGGTTTCTCTGCAGGGCAGGACTCAGCACTGCACTCCCTCATTCCAGCAATTTTGTGTCAGTGAAATCCAATGCTGACATCCCACATGTGGTTTATTCCTGCATATATTTTTTTTCAAAATGTCGTTAGTTTTACTGAGGACAATAACATTTTAGCACTAAGGCAAATTGAAAGAGAAGGAACAAAATGCTTTTTATGTTGTCATAAATCTTTAAAAACTTTGTCTGCTGAGAACTCTTTTCATATGAAGGAACATAAAACTGCTTTCCAAATGGAACAAGACCAGATCTTGTTTAGCAGGATTGCTCTGAGATAAAGTGCAAAAGTCAGGGAAGAGTAGCTGCATGGATATGTTACCATGGCCACATCACTGCTGGAATAGGAGTTCATGTCCCACTCATCTTCCCCCCAACACTGATACCCAGCGGAGACCAGTGGGAGGTAATTTTTCCTATGAAACCAACAAAATGGCCTTGTAAAAAGCCTTGTTCCTCTTGACAACTATATTGCCAACTGATTTAGCAGCACTGCTCACCATAAGTAAGGTTAAAATCTGTGGGATCCCTGAATCATCCTTTCAATGTAAGTATCCTAAAAGGGAAAAGGGTATGATCATGGCAATAAACTAAACCTGCATCTGATTTTTTTTTTTAAGAAAGAGACTGGTAACAGTATTTGAATTGAACATAAGCAGTCAGAGATGAAATCTAGTCTGTGCTTGATACATTGCCCTGTGAGACTGAGCAAGGACCTTACAAGAGATGATACAACAACTTTAGTGTTACACTTTCTGGACTCACAGGGGTTTAATTATTCATTACTACCATGATGCTTGAATTTTTCATTTGTTTTTGTTAAACTAATATTCATTTGTACCTCTTGGTACAAATTATAGAATAGCACCCTTTTTTCATGATGTGGCATTGATGCTAAAATATTTCCTGGTTCAAAGCTGGAATTGCCACAGGTTCTTAACCTTTAAGCTGTTGATCACAAACATATATGTGCTGAGTGCTCTATTAATGTCTATTTCATGCACCCACTGCTAATTTAAGAGTATTAAATTCTCTTCAGGAATGAGGATAAAATGAAGGTTATAGGAGCTTGCGTTTGGCTGCAGGAGCGCAGAGCAGCTGTCAGAAACCTGGTGATGTTACTCTCAGAGAGACCAGTTGGCTGATACCTGCAGGAGGAGAAAGAATATTGCAGAGGGATCATGAGCAGGTTTTATTATCTTTAAGTGCCTTGGCTCTGAAACGTTTCTCAGTTTAAAGAGCATTCCACATGCTTGGATGGCAATTGCTGCATTTATAAGAATTGTATAGATTTTCCACAGGTTTTCAGATGTTGCTAATTTTGCTGTAATGTCAGCTACTGCATGAATGACGGAGCGGTTTTGGATGATACTCTGAGAGAAGGTGCAGCCTGGGATTTGGGATGCACCTGTCAAGGCAGCAAGCTCAAGTATAAAGTCCCTGGGCCCTTCCAGGGGAGAGCAGGTTCCTGTCCTTCCAGGAGGAGTCTCCACCTCTCGCTGTCAGAGCCTTCAGCCATGTCCAGCTTTTCCTGCTCCTGGCAACTAGTTGGAAGGGATCTTGCCTTCCCTTGCCCAATTCACCTGGTTCTGAGCCAGGAAAAAATGGCATTTGTGTAGAGGTTCAGAACCTCAACATCTGTGTGGTTATGAAGTGAAATTACTCTACTATAAGGATTGCTTAGATGGAGCTCAAAGGAAGGAAGGATTGTCTTGTATACTCAGATACCAGCCTAGCTGTGGGTAGTGGGGCTGAGCTACAGGCAATATTGCTTGCAGCTGATAGGAACCATAAAGTGAAATGTATGTGCTGCTTTTCACAGGCACTAGACCATGGGGAGGGACTGAGTCCTCTCTAATTAGTCTGTCTCGTGCCAATATTCCCTACTGGTAGCTTCTTTCTTCAGTTAATGTACAAGATGTCCCAAAACAAAGATGTCCTTCTGGCCTACAAAAATCTATAATTTGAGTGTCATCCAGGAGATTGCAATGTGTTCTGGGATACACTCAGGTACCAGGGAAGGGCATCAGCAATATTTCAAAAACATGCTGGCCTCCTCATCCAGACTAGTTCATGGTGTAGGTATGAACTTCTGACTTTTCTTTTTCTTCATTTTTCTTTTATTTTTCCTTCTTTTTTTCTTTTGCATTTGGATTTTAAATTTTGGTTTCAAATTTTGATTTCCTGGGTCTCTAAGATCAAATTGAACTCTTAACCAAGCCCTTCCCTTCCCTTCCCTTCCCTTCCCTTCCCTTCCCTTCCCTTCCCTTCCCTTCCCTTC